GGGCAGCAACTATGACCTAATTTTTATATAAATTTTATTTATACACTTTATTGCACAACAAAGTAAGATATACACAATGTGCAATAGAACAGCGATCTCTTCCATACTGACCACTCTTACGAACGTAATCCCTATATGAAAGATCACTAAACGCTCTGTAAAATATAGGTACTTACGTGATAATTATTTTTTATAATATTCCAATAGCGTTTTAATTTTACAATTTAAATTCTATAATTATGTGACATACTTATTTTACATTTAAATATTTATTTTCTTCTATATAGGTACGTATGGATTTACGTAGTCGTTTTGAGTTGCGGCGCGGAATACTACATTGTAGAATGCAATAAAATAAATAAAGAAATAAACTTGAATATATCACTTCGCATGACTCTATGATCATATTCAGCCTTTTTACGTCTCCACTGCAGGAGCTCAGGCCTTCCTTATGGATGTTTAAGACGATGACCCATGACCCTCTACACGGGCCTAATTCAAATTGGATGGTATTAACAACTGCAGACACAGCCGTCATATTATAATCGGCAGATATTTAATGAATTACTTACCAAATGAACGCCTTCAATAAAACTTTCGTCAGAAATAAACAAAAAAAACACACAACTTTTACTCTTAAATATACACAACATGCACAGAACACGTGTCGTTTATAAATAAAAAGTAGCTAGAAAAATCCTGTTCAGTTTTGGAGCAGCTGCCGTTGCTACTCTCATCTCCACGTTCTACTACCTGTCCAAGGTCGTTATGACCCTTCAAACGCTTCAATATTTAAAAAAAAGTATTCTTTTATGTCTATTTAGGTATTATTCAACGTAAAGATACGAAAAAAAATTCTAATAAAATTACATACTTTACTATTATTTTTTTATAAATTTTGTTTAAATAATAAAAAAATCATTTTTTTGGGTAAACTTTACACTTTATAGTCTAAAGAAGAAAACCCCCCCTCAATCATTTAAATTCATTTACTGTAACAAAAGTCTGAGGTCAAAACCCCCAGTCACTCCACTATAAACAAATACATTTAACCAACAGATGATAATTTGAATGAAAAAAGAACTGTTAATAGCTAATAATAATAGTATTCTTACTATTAACAATTCTTACTTCATTTAAATTCTAGTTTCAATGTTAAAAATATTTGCTTAAATAATTACATTTAGTCGACTATAGTTACGGGTGTTAAGTAAGTAGCCTTCGTATTACTACACACTCCAGTACATATCGCACACCTAGATCTAAACTGAGACAACTCAAAAATTTGAGTGAGTTTTGACTTTGTACAATATTCAAATTCTCGGTGATCATACGCATCAATCCAACATAACAGATTCAATAAAGGTTCGGGGATGAGCCGCTAGATAACTTTAGCTTTCTTTTGTCCGATCATCAGTGGGCGCGTTCCTGCCACGCAAACAAATGTATTGTCAGACCTCCACATTAGTTTTTTGAGTTGTCTTAGTTTAGATCTAGGTGTGCGATAGGTGAAATAACGAAGTCGCCACAGTGTACCAAAGTACAACAGCTAGCAATAATAATCTTTTAAAAACTGCAATATAAACTGTATACTGTTAAATCCTTTGCTATGTTACATGATGATCAACATTTTCTATTATAAAACAAATTAATATGGTGACATGTACTATGTAAATATCTTTACTTCTGTTAAGAGGTGGTAAGTTTCTTTTACTTGTGTAATTATTGGACGATTCAAAAGCGCTTGCAAATAATGTTATTTGAAGAAATAATATATTCATTCATTCATCAGTTTAATGAAATCAGTCTTAATATTGATTAGGTTATACAGGGATATTTTTTTTACTGTACATGAAATATATTGTGTGGAAACAACTTCTTTTAAATAATCTGCGAATAAAATATTAAAAATAACGTTTCATGGCATAAGTGAAGTGAGTTTCCAAATGACATAGGAATAGAATGTCTGAGACACGTATAGTCAATCAATGTTGTTTTGTATGTTTATATAAAAAAATGGAATCGATAGAATTTCTACACTAAATAACGTGAATTCGTGACACATGAGTGAATTCGAATTCGGGTCTGGATTTTTACAGAATTGCAGGGCAGTTAATAGTAATAAGATCAGTGTGCACCTACCTAAAACTATTTTAAGCCAAGCTCGTTATTTTTTTGACAATTGTAGCGCAACACTCTATCTATAAGTACATGCATATAAACGAAGATTGAATAGAAAACAATGTTTACTATGGTAACGTTATAATTCCCTATACAAATTTTCATTCTTTTTCATCCCTTTAGTTTCAGTTTTTCGGGATAAAATATAGCATATGTCCACCGCATATGATGTGCAGGTGAAATAATTTTTCAAATAGGTCGAGTACTTTTGGAGCCTATTAGTTGCAAATAAACAAACAAACAATCAAATCTTTCGTGCTTATGATATTAGTATAGATATTTGGGTAACAAAGATAATAATGACTGAAATACCATCTATATTATCTTTATCATGTCGCCCGGAAATGATATAGATTGGAACGGAGGATTGCTAATAGCGCGTTAAAAATATTTTAAATTAATTACTTTTCAATCATTACGATTCTTGTAATTTCGGCTGTTTTTTTACCTAAAAAGGTAAAAAAACGTAAGTCGAATTTGTAATCGAGATCATAAACTATCGTTTTAACTGTGACCCTTCTATATGACGTGTTTTTGCTGATTAGCAATTGCAAATTTTGTTATTTTCTGCAATGCGCTTCATAATTATATGTAATAGTTTTGTTTATATGTATGTATGCTGTAACCGTTTTTGACCATAGTTGCCTAGGTGGGAATATGATGTATTCGTATGTAGCGAAAAAATTATTTCGTGACCTCAGTTTTAAATCTTAAAATTTCACTTACTACATTCTTTATTGGTTGTCCAAAAATATTAAATAAAATGTAACATACTATCAAGGATATTTGATACATTTTGCATTCACAATTTTGTATTAATATTGAACTTATAAAAATATACTCATAATTTGGCAGCGCCATTATGTTTAATAATATTTAATCTAATATGGCATTAAAAGTATAATCGAGTGAAACCTTTATTTTTTGAGATAAGTTTTGTTTGACAACTTCTAACGCCATAACAGTGCTGTGTTCGACGCTACGTTGCACACTTTATTTAAACAGAATAGATATCTTGGTCTGGATCAGCTAAATTTTTGTTTAAAAGTATTCTTTTAAATAACATGAAGGTTCTCGTAGAGAAAAAGTAAAAATTAAGAAAGGAAGGGAAATAGTAAAAACCTCAGAACAATAACAAAAAAATATATACTTTTAATGATACATTATTTAGCTGTTTTCCCCGTAATTTTCCTGATTATATTATGGCTTATGATGTAGCTTCTCTTCAATAAAAGAATTTATATGATGAGATCAGTATTTTCGTAGATTACCCCACACAAACAAACAAATTGAGAACAAATTACCTCTTCATAGTATTTACTATTAAACTGGAGAGTATCATGTTTAAGGACAAAATAAGAAGAATATAGGAAAATAGGACAGGTATTTTTTAAAATCTCTTACCTAACTTTCTGTGAAAAGCAATATATATTGTCTATAATTGATGCGAGTTAATACTACTAGAACTTGACTTTAATTTGATATTACGTAAATATTTAATTAAAAACGAATTTCTTAATGCTATTTGCTATTATTAAAACTAGAAGTAATTTTAACGATATCTCCTAATTAGGCTAGGTGCGCACAGGCGACTTTTTGTCTGCTGTCATCGCACTGAAGAATCCTTGCGGTGTGGTGGCGTGAACACGTGACAATTAGGTGACTTCCATACAAATGATAGAAACAAGGTGACAGAAAAAATATATAAAATAACTTTTCATTATAGTGTTATGTCAAAAAAAAAATCCTTTTCATTATAATGTTATGTCAATAAAGATATGAGAAAAAAATGATCCAGAGATATTTATATTCCCATAATTATGGTTTATGTCATATGATATTTGTATTGCTATTTTAATTTTATTTATCGTAAATCATTGTCTTATGTCACCGACGATCTTTATCAATACAATTTTTTTTTCAAAGTTTGGTATATGATTAATAGATATCACTGATATAGCTGATATGATAAGCGATGCATTGAATTAAACATAGCTTATTTTTAAACTTGGTACACTTTTGCATTACATCACCACCTACAAATTAATGTCCTCCTTGTTGGAGTATAGGTATTCCGTAGTGATGGAATTGAGTTGAGTAGGGAGATTAGGCTCATTACGTTGGATCAGTACGTATTGACTGCTTATGCTATTGACGGCTGCAGGGATTAACGGCTTTCCTTCGAGAGTATAGAAGAGCACGAGATAATAAATTTTTGGTCACACATCCTATCATAGGCCAATCATTGAGCTATCGAGCTCCTGTTGAAACAATAGTTTGTTTTTATAATATGATATAGTGATAGCCTATCTTACTCGCTGGTAATGTAGATTTGTATTCGAGTAAATGTTTTTTTTTTAAATCAGTCCATAAGAAATAAATACAAATATCAATTGTTATTCTGTACAAAATTACTATTTGTTGAATACTAATATTATTGTGCATGTGCACATGCTATTTGTTAAGCTATATAAAAAAAAAAACTCGTCAGATTTTTTTTCATATCAGTATAATTTACTCGTCACTTATTTTATTTCATTAACTAACAATGTGATCGTGAAATAAAACAAATGTAAGTATATTTTTATCAGTATCGGATACCTATTATTCATTTATTTAATTAATCATAACAGTATTACAGAATTTTAAAGTAAATTAAGTATTTCCCAACCGCAAAGTGACAAGCGTGAAGTTATGCGTTTCATATCGACTCTTGCACAAGCTTTCACTTTGCAAAAAGTGCGATGCAGATTTTTTTTAACTAGTTCCTAACAACACATCTCTAATCACTTTATTGTGTAAAAAAACCTTTCACTCACCACCCAAGGTCTGTCCGTCCATAACCGACGTTAAGGCACAAACAAATAGAAAAAATAAACTTTTCCGTCCCGCCATTTTGATTTCCCACTTCACTAAAACCACAGAGATTGTATACGCGTTATCAATTAAAAATTAATGAGGAAGTTTTTGGTGAGTATAAAAAAAAGAAAAGACTTCGGTAAAGACGCTTTTTAAAATATTCGAATTGAGAATGCGTCGTCGCGCGGCCGCGACATTGCCAACTGTGGTTATTTGACATTTACTACACGTTTCACTGGGCAAGTGTCTACTACAGCTCTCACTGTAAAATCAATCTTGTTTGGTAACTAATATGGTACAAAACAAGTATTCGTAACGTAAAATGACCGGTTGAGTTATGCACACAGTGTTGCTGTGGAATTTTGAATTGTAATTTGAAGGAATAAAGTGTTTAGTTAATAATTTTAATTTCGATATCAAGACATTCACATTTTGATAAAATAGAGTTACACGTTGAAATCGCAATCTTTGTTGTTGTATGTAACAATTTTATGTTTTATCAATGATAGTTTAGATAACGTTAGTTAATCAACAATATTATAGATCAGGTGTTAAATAAAGGTGTTAAATAGTGAAAGGGTATTTGTTTTATTCTGCCATTATTAATGGCAATGCGAAGAAAGTATGTTGTATCAACAAAAATGGGAATATTACACACATCTGCTTTTGGGCGATCCTTTGGGTGCAAATAAGTATAAGAAGTTGGGTTATTACCCAATTAAAAATTGGACAATGCAATAATAAAACATGTTGCAGATTTTCAGCTTTATTTAGTCTACGCCTCATATCATAGGAGAAATTTGTTCGACACGTTGGATGGTGTGAATATAACCACCCCCAAACTAAATATTTCGAACCAATTCGCACCATGATATAAAACAGATGTAACCGATGAGTAACATAATGGTGCAGTAGTTAGCCGATTTGATCCACGATGTGAAAGTTAAGAAATTGCCATGATGGTCGGTCATAGGTCATGGGTGACCAAAAATTTTTAATCAGAAGCTCCTCTGTACCTTAGTTCCTCTGGAACTAAAGCACGTTAGGAAGCTACGCTTTTTGTTAAAAAAAATCACTAAGTGAATTACGAAACTCTCGATCTAATCTCTCGATCAAGTAATTGAGCGAGTAACAGTGCGAGTGCCATATATCTGCGCAGCAGTTGTTACAGTATTCCGATAGGAGATTTCTGGCGGGTAGAGCTTTGCAATATATAAAAAGCTGAACGTTGTTTGAAACGATCTGTTACCTCAAATTAGGGAAGTCTAATACTCGTATCTATAGTGTAGAGAAGTAATTGACAAAATGGCATAACTAAAGCAGATATTTTCACCAATAGATGAGAATTTGAATGAAATAAGAACTGTTAATAGCTAATAAGAAAGTATTCTAGATTATTTATCAGCCGGGGCTGGTTGTATATCTGGTTGATTTCTAAACATTAACTTTTAAGAAGTTTCGAAATTACGTTTATGTCCCATCAGTGAAGTTGCGGGAAAACAGCTAGTGTAAGATATATGAACAAAGGAAAATTAAGAATACGCACACACAATAGCGTATCAGGTAATCACTAAAGGCCATAGGAGTTCTCACATCGAAGTATGGAATTTGGTTTCGCATTGTATCATGATACTAAGGCGTGTCTTAGTTTAGCGGTGGCATAGTCAATAAGTGCCGCGGCCCGTGATTGTTGTTATAAGTAACTTTCGTAAGGTGACGTAAAAGGGCCTCAATATTGATTAAAATACACTATGTAGTAGAGAAAAATAACAAGTCCTTGAAAAATTCGTAAATCCTTTTAGGTCCTGGGTAGCTCAGTGGTGAGAGCAGTAGCCTGGATTGCGAACGGTCAAGGGTTTGAATCCCATCCCAGTGTGCCACGGACAAAGTGGTTTTTTCATTAAGAATACTCTTAAGTACTTTTTAATATACTTATATTAAATAGCATTATCAATGCAAAATTTATCAAATATGATAATTTAATCAATTTGTTTGTCTGAACAAAGCAGTTCAGATAAACAAATTGATTATATGATTATATTATATATCTGAATATATGATTATATTTTCGTGAATTCAATGTTACTTCCATAGCAAAAGTTGTTCAATATAATTAACTTATCCACCCCACAAAGTCCTGGCACATAATAATGTTACACCTTATATTTCATAGTAATTATTTTTACAAATATATGACATAGGCAGTTTTAAAAAATTTTATCTTTCAAAAAATCATATGTAATAAAAAAAACAATTTTTGTTTCTTAATTTTATATTTTTCACAAAATTGCACAATAATAATATAAAAGAGATTAAATATTATAAAATAAACATTATCATTAAAATTAAATAGGAGATCAAAAATCAGCCAAGTGTAAGGTAAAAATAAAAATGGTAGAGAAATGGCAAGTAAAGCAGCGCACAGTAACTAAGCTATTTCTTCTTTATTAAAAAAAATCTACTTTATTACAATACAAATAGGAATATTTCTTTTTGATATTTGCGATAATACGATTACAAATCTAACCGAGATTTACGGCTTTAGATAAATTTAATTTCCTCGAACGTGTTATAATTATTTAGTATATTTATAAAATATGTAATATACTGAGTTGATATTCTGTAATAAAATCAGCCTCAAAATCGACCTTGTGCCCAAAATATAGCATAGAGGTTCAATGAAATAAAAAATAATATTACCCTCAATTGCTAGAGGGAACAATCTGGAAGCAAGGAGAGCTCAGGATTCAATGAAATAAACCTTTATGACAATGAAATGAAGTAGGTTTCATTTCATTGAACCTCTTGCTCTGTAACAGCATGTGCTCATCATCGAATTTGGGTAGTCATCGTTTTTATTTTACAGAATAACACTCCAGGTTCAAGATTGCAAGTAACATATGAGTTAAAGGATAAAACACAGAAGGAAGGTTAGATTCTTGTCGGCGAGGCAGATTATTACACTAAGTAGGTTATGGGTAAAAGTCTTTAAGCACTACTAACAGTCGCGAAATTTAAAACGCTTATGTGTGAAAGAGATCTATAAGTATTTACAACAGCAACAATGGTGAATGATCCACACTCTAACGTACTGTGTTCTACGAAAATATCAAAATCCGTTATAGTTAATAACTGGTGCTATAATAGTTCGGATCCATGAAGCGGTGACTTGTACGTTGTGGTATATACCAGGCTGGTGGTCTACGCCGCAGCCGAAGCCAGCGGATGTGATGCCCACTAAATAGTACCTACCGTTATCTAACACTATCAGAGGACCACCTGAATCGCCTGAAATGAATACATAAGTTGATATTATTTAAAAAAAAACAAGCTTGTTTGGTATCAGATATCTAGTAAAGACGAATTGAACGAGAGCAAGCAAGATATGGTTGCTATATTTAATTATAAATTTCCCACCACACCATGGATATTATTTCGAAGCAAAGTCCTTGTCAATATAAATTAAATGATATCAAATTGGATGATATATAAATATATTTTCCAGCTTCATTATCAGATCGACTCAAGTCATATAAATATTGCATTGTCCTTCAAGTTCTATTATATTCTTGCATATTTCCGAAAAGTGACTTTAATTTAGCTTGTCAGATTTGACCGCCATTAAGTAAAACGGAAAGTTATATAAATTTGTAAAAATACTATTATTGGGCCTTCTCAATCAGTTGTAGGGCCAGTTATGTGGATTTATGATCAGCTTATTCATTTCTCATTTCTAGGACATAGATCTTTCTTTCCTTTCCAATGAATCAGGTAGGAAGAACAGGTAATAACGTTTTCTCATGCATGATCGCCGGTGTTTATAGCTTTATCTCTCAATAGCACGCGATGGATTTGATCTTAAAATTTTTCTCTTCTATGGTGAATTGGTCTTCCACAGCTTCTACATCCTTTCGCTTTTGTGTTATAATAGTTTTGTCTTTCTTTTCACATTTTCCAATTAAAAGAGCATGCGTCTGTTAACCGACATCACCTCTTAGGTTAACTTAGGCTTACGTTCAAATCAATATGTAAAGAATATTACCCAAACACGCATCTTGGTGGCCGTCCGAATGTCCAGCGCATATCATCTCGGAGTGAATCTCAACAGAAATTTGTTTGCTCTGATGCCATTTGATGCACTGCTCTTTGCCTGTATACAAATTTAGATTTTAGAAACATAGTTGAAAATAGAAATCGTGAGGTGCAAGGCTAATCAATTTGTGAGTGAACACAATACTATAAAATTGGCCTATTATGTGCACATTGAGGCCATTTAATTCATTCTTGGATGTGTAGTTGCTGTTCTTCGCAGATAATCTTAACAGCGTAACCGGGATTTTAAGGGCGGCGAGATCTTTAAGACGAGCCGAGAAAAACGAGAGACATCTGACGGGTCACTAGGATATTTATTGTTCAACATAGTGTTTTACATTCACATGTGGTATAACTAATTACTTAGAATTAATTGCTCTGTTACACTGGTGGCTGATATTCACCCGCACGTGGGCGTTTTCTATGATCATTAATTACTTTCATTGATTATTCATTGTTATTTTGACCAACTGAACCAAGACTGTTGACTTTCATTTAGTTGAATGCGATATATCGATCAACTTATTGACCAATGAAAATGGGTCTATAAAGCAAAGTTGAATCTGTTACTACTTACTCAGAATAGGAACAGTAGCGGATCTAAGCAGATTAGTCCCCGTGTGACCGTTGCTAGCGTCAGTCTTGCCCCAGCCGGCGATGACACCGGACCTGCCTCTCAGCTCCATGTCGAAGTCAGGTAGACATATAGGTAATATGTGACTCATGTAAGTGATAGGCCTGGATAGCTTCAGTAATGCTATGTCGTATCTATCCGGTTGGGTCATACGGAACTGGAAGAGGGGATGCAGGATTTTTTGGACAACCCTGTAAAAGATTATTTATACATATGATAATTTCAAATAAGCAAAATTTAAGAAATTGAATATTCGAATCTATTCTAGCCAATTAGAAGACTTTTGCCTGGTGGTGATGACAATGAGGAAATATAAAAAAAAATAGTTCCCGTAATCAAACTAGATGTCACTACGGTACGTTCTTGATTTCTCCATGACAACCCTTCCGGTGTTCTTTCATGTTTAAAAGTAAATTCGTTTTCAAAACCCAATAAACAACTCATATTCTGTTTATACTTTTTCGTATTTGTATTGATATATATGTTTCGAACTTTTCAAATTTCAGTTTTTTAATATGTTAGT